TATTCATGTAAATCATAAGCAGGTAATTTTTGTCTAGCTTTTTTTTATTTCGAAACAAGAATTACTTCTTAATTAAACTTGTTTTTTTCAAAGATGAATATACTCATTTGTCAAACACACAATCATGTTGCTAGTTTTTCTAAATAATGGATGCAATTAGTTGATAATATTATCTATTTTACGCATTATAATTCATTAAAAATCTCATACAATATAAGATGTTGACGTGTTCATGTTTTGCGCTGAATTAAAATGAGCAGTGCATTATAAAGCATTATACAGATTGAAAAATCACGGAATTGCCTCTATTATCAATTTAATGCATTCCAATGCATAGAAAATTTCACGCATTTCAATCATTCAAAATTCTCATCGAAGTCAATGCCCTTCAATGAATTAGCTTCATGGTCACTTCAAACCACGGCGATGCATCTCATTTTATCTACGTACGATTTAAGTTTTAAATCGTTCTTTTTTCTAATGTATTTTTAAAAACTGTTTAGAAATAAATTGTAAATAACAGCAATCAATCAAATGATGGGTGTGGGTGTGGGTGTGAACGTGCATCCTGCAGAAAAGAAGATCCACACCCACACTCACACCCATTATTGGAGATGTTATCTTCAGTATATATTGGCTATATTTTCTTTCTATTCACTAAAATAAACACAAGTGATTTTGCCAAAAAGTTGTGTCGTTTTGGAAAAAAGGTCAATTATTAATTACTTTTGTTTTAAATGATTTAATGCATATTAAAATTTTTCGATGGGAAGAAATGGAATCTATTGTTCTTAATTGACGTTGCAGATTTGCAGTCTTTCCGTTCTCATCTGAACGTCTTTTTATTGAGAATTTAATGTGTTTCTTATTCTGGTTGATCGAAATTCATTATAAAATTAGATGAGACGAGCAGCCGAGACGTTGGTCGAGTTAAATATATGAATATATCTATAACACAGTAAAATGGAATACTATTTGAGTAAAAACTACATAATTGATTTACATTAAGAACATATATAAAGCCTGAGACTTAGTTTTTATTCGAATCAATACGGCAAGAAACAGAACTACTTGTTCGAATCTTACGATTTAAAACGCGTACTAAAGTCGAAGAATATAATGACCTTGCCTTTTTATTTGTCTCTCAAGAAGCTGTTACAATAAACAATTCAGCCATAAATGAGAAAGTTGTCTTATTAATTAAGGTTATTCATACAACGTCATGAAACGATTTGTATGCTGAAGAAGATCATCTATTCTATGCAATTAAATGTGATCCTAAAAACTTTCGTGATATAATTCTTCTAAAAGTCGATCAAGAAGAAAGACAAATCATACCAATGACGGTATGAATTCATCGATGTGTGACAAACTCGAATTTCTAGTAGACGCTGATCACAAAGCATTGAAAAAAGAAAACGATATCATTAAAAGAAAAGCTTGTCAGAGCAGCTCACTTGGGGCTAAAATGTGAAACTCACATGTATTTTCTAGCCTGGTTTAACGAACACAAAATACTGCATGTAAAAAATCACTCGTAGACTTTTTTTGCAGAAGAATCAACCATTAGAATTGGGATTTCTCTAATTTCTGCATTTATAATCGAAATTTTTATTTTAATATCAGCGCTCTAATTTGTTTCCGCACTGTTGCTATCTACTTTTTATTTTTCATTTTTTAAAATTTTTTTTTTCTTAATTTAATATTGTTATCAATGTAATCATTATATTTAACGGGAGAAGAATATGTCTGATTTAAATATAGAGGAGATGTGCAGTAGATGTCAACCCCCTACTAATATATATCTCAAGGAATTCACCAGCACAGTTATTCATTTCTTTTCAAAATTATAGCTTAATCGACTTTTCAAACAAATCTAGCGAGCCAGACGTCAGTGTGCCTGAACCGTTGAGGTCTGTAATGGAAAGCGTAGTATCTATAATGGAAGAGAAGATGTGAGTAATCGGGTGTGGGTGTGAGTGTGGGTGTGGGTGTGGGTGTGAGTGTGGGTGTGGGTGTCGGTGTGGGTGTGGGTGTGGGTGTGGGTGTGGGTGTGGGTGTGGGTGTGGGTGTGGGTGTGGGTGTGGGTGTGGTGTGGGTGTGGATGTCGGTAAAGAAAAGACTTGGCTACACCCACACCCACACCTACCCATCTCAAAACAATCTCGACGCCCCCGCTCTCCCCTTCAATCTTGGTGACCTCGGGACACCTCTATGAATCGGCCCTGAACTCTTTTTATCAAAACAGATGCTGTAAATGTCATTTGATGGATATCAGACTAGTTATCTACCAGACACTGATCGAGTATTCATTCTTGATAGCAAACAGGCTCTTTATTAATCCATCATTCTCAGCACAATTGAACTCGATCAAAATTCACCTATTGAAGTCGAACTACATCATTGCAAGATTGAACTCGACTCGAACTCGAACATATAATCTCAAGTTCGAGTCGAGTTCGAGTTTACATATTCGAGTTCAAATCGAGTTCGAGTTTACATGTTCGAGTTTGAGTCGAGTTCGAGTTTATATGTTCGAGTTCAAGTCGAGTTCGAGTTTACATATTCCAGTTCGAGTCGAGTTCAATCTTACAACGTTTGACTCGAAAACTCGAAGTCGCGTTCGGGATTGGTACATGTCTATATATCAATAAATAGGTTACGTGGTTGGGTGATCGTTAGTGAAGGTATATTGACTGCTATGGACCGGTTTATACAGATCTTTTTGGTAGTAGTAGATTTGTATAAACATATCTGCATCGGTTATACATGTTTTCAACAAAAAAATCTGTAGAAAACACTATATGAGTATGGCCCATATTCGTGTCAAAAAGTAGCTTATGGAGTTCTATGGGTGTTAGTATGCATACGCTAAAGTGTTTGTATGTAATATAAGAGAGCTCCCGGGTGTCGTGATTGAGAGGAATCATTTTTCAATGTTTGCTGACGGTTTTTTTTCTTATGACTCGTAGAAAGTGGGTGTTAGTGGATGTTAGTAAACATAACTCCCTACGGTTTGGGTGTTAGTAAAGGTCACTTATATACAATCTTATAAAGTTGGGTGTTTGCGGTGTTAGTATAAATTACGAATATCCAATGAAAGCTATCGCCGCATAACTAACAAGATCAAAATATTAGCGGGTGTGGGTGTGGATGTGTGAGTGTGTGGGTATATGGGTGTGGGTGTTGGAGTGGGTGTGGATGTAGATAAAAACAAGACCCACATCCACCCACCCTCACACCCACACCCCCACCCACGCCCACACCCCACACCCGGATGGGGTGGATGGGTGTGTGGATGTGAATAGGTGAAAAGAGAATACCAATAAACTCACACTCAGACCCACACCCACCCATACCGACAGCCACACCCGCACGCACCCACACCCACACCTGCACCTCACACCCACCTCACCCTTGTTTTTTTAAATCACGCTATTTGTTTTAAGTAGTTCTTTTTCGATGCCCTTTCTTTATAGACATATAATCCACAGAAGGCCATGTTTTTTGATTTTTCTAGCTGAGGAAATTTTTCGAAATAGTTTTAACGGTTGAGGAAATTTTTCTTTTTTACGGCCGATTCTGCACCTCTATACACTCCACACCCTCTTTTGATCTACGAACAACATATATTTTTACACAAGATAGAAAAAGAACAAAGATGAAATTTAATTTTCTCTCTCTTTCGAAAATTTTCATAATGCAATTCAAACATAGAGCATGTATGAGGACTGTATCATTATACGATGTTTCTTTAAACATGAAAATTATTTAAAAAAAACAATTTTCTCAACTCATATAATTTTAATTTATACACCGCCTCGATGAAGCTCGATGTGTACATCTAATTTATATAACGAAAAAGAAGAAAGGATTTTTTTCAATCATAAATAAAATTACAATGATGATAGATCAAACTCATATACAGGTAAAAAAAGGTACGCATTCTAATAATTACTATCTCGTTGACTTGTTATAAAGATAATGTTTTTTAGCTTCTGCATTACCAATCGAACCAAATGTTATAAAAGTTGAAAAACATCTATCAAAAAGAAACAGACGACCAAGCAATGTGATTTATGTAACTGTTCGAGTACCAAGTAGCAGTAAATCGATAAACAATGAATCTATTAATCGTCATAATAGTTCACGCTCGGTTAGATATTTGAATTTATATTATTAATATTCAATCCCTTTTGTCTCAGTAGGTTCTGACTACTGTAGAAAATGACAATCAAAAACAAAATGATGAAAGAACTCCATCGGTCAATAAAATTCGACAGCGTCATCATTCTTTTTCAACAGTAAGAAAAAAGACTGCGGAAACAAAATACAACAAAGACAGAAAAGCTATTCGAAATGTTTGCCAAAATATTTCATTAATATTCTGGTCAGATAAGTTTGCAAATGAAGTTATTGCAAGAGTATATGCCTAATTCAAGGTCGAATTTTAATGAAGCTTCAACTGCATAAGATGACCTTGAAAAAAATTGAAAAAAAAGCTAGCAGTTGCTTATAGCAAAAGAAAAAATTTACATCAGTATTAATTATTATTCATCTAAGACTTTCAGAAAGCTGTCTCATCTTTATTCTGGCTTGTGTGCCCTCTGTAACTCTGAAGGGGCATACCTCAGCATGCAAAGCAGGTGGAAGAGCACGTGAACGAAGTTCAGATCCAGGGGGTACAACGCCTCCCGTGCCTCTCAGTTACGTTTCTGTAACCCTTTCTACACTCATTCTTACAGAAGCTTCATTTATATTCGAGCTCGAATTAGTCAACCGATGTATTGCAAATATTTATTATAGGGAAAGTTCGACCAATAAATTGATTCTATCATTTTTCTCTTTGTTGATTTCAGCTTGAACAAGTAATAATGCAACCAACTCGATTACCATTTATTTCATCGAAAAGAGCGTATGTATTCACTCTTCTTAAATAATTATCAAAAAACATCTTTTCATTTAGAAAGAAACGTCAACGCTTATGTACCAGAAAAAAGATGCTTGCGATCATCATCTGTACCGTTATTCTTATTTTAATTGGTGCAGCTATTGGTATTGCATTAGGTGTTAGTTTGAATAGAAATACAGGTAGGGTTTTATTGATAAGAAATAAGATCAAAATGAAAACTTATACTAGGATTTTTCAAGACAGTCTTTATCTTTTTTTTTTTTATTTATTCTATTTTAGATGCCGTCGATTCATGTGAGTGATGGAAACATTCTTTTTTGTGAAACTCGAACTGAAGGAAATATAGAAGTAGAAATTCAGACACACCGCCTCCTTTATAAACCGTGAGAGACATAGTCATAAAATCGAAGTCTGTTGCGGGATTATTGTGAAACACGATTGGACTTAAAATAGCTCTTTTATCTTGTTTTTTGACACTCACTGTAACATGTGTTGGTAAATTCTTTCATATAAAATGTAAAAAATTCCATTGTGTTTCACATTTTAATCTCAGAGAATTTTTATTTAAAATGAATAATATGTTGTTTAATAGGTAGTTTTCGATGGAATCCAACTGGAATTGTAGTACTTGGTAATGGGACAGCTGGTTCGGAATCAAATCAATTAAATAGACCATTTGGAATTTATATAGATAATAATGACATATTATATATAACAGATTTTGGAAATAATCGAATACAAAAAATGATATTATCTACTGGTGTCATAACAACAATTGCCGGGAATATTACAGCAGGAAATAGTAATACTCAATTAAATGGTCCTGAATTTGTTTATCCTGATGGAAATCAAAATATTTATGTACCTGATTACTATAATTACCGTATTCAAAGATTCCCATCGGGATCATTAATCGGTACCACAATCGCAGGAACGGGAACACCTGGAAATGCTACAAATCAATTTAATGGAATAAAAAATATTTGGTTAGATTCATCATATCAATATTTATATGAAGTTGAATCATTAAATAATCGTGTTATGAGATTTTCAACTAATTCAATAAATGGTACCGCTGGAACAGGTAAATTTCGCAAGTTTTTTTTTTCAAATAATTTCATTGATTTATTTTTGCATTTAGTTGTTGCAGGTGGAAATAATCCTGGAAATAATACAGATCAATTAAATAATCCCCAAGGAATTTATTATGATACATCATCAAATTCAATGTATATTGCAAATTATGGTGGACATACAATAATTAAATGGATACCAGGTGCATCAAACGGATCAGTTGTTGCTGGAACCTCAGGTCAAAGTGGAAATACTTCATCATTACTTAATTCTCCATTGGATGTTCGAGTTGATCAATATCAGAATATTTATGTTGCAGATTCGAGAAATTTTAGAATACAAAGGTTTTGTGTAAAAAATGGAAATCAAGGTACTACAATAGCTGGAGGAAATGGAGCGGGTAATTCAACTATACATTTAGCTCAACCAAGAAGTTTACATTTTGATTCTCAAATGAATTTATATGTTAGTGATACTACCAATCATAGAATTATTAAATTTGTTAAAGTTTAATTTATTTTATCAATAAGACATACCATTTAAATATAAATAAAGAACATTTATTTCTAATCGTGAATCTTTTTGAAAATTAGCTATTTTTTTAATAAAAAGATTTTGTCATATAGATTATCAGTATAATTACTCAAGGTTAAATAGAAGCAAAATACTGTTTTGTTTGTTATGATAGTTTTCAATATATGGTATATAATATGTTTATTGATAGACGGACATGTCAAAAGTTACTTTTTTCTTGAGAAAATTAAATGTTTGATGCACTCTGTTTTTTAAAAAATGTTAACAAAATCTTAATCTATATCTTGTTTTGATTTTTAGGAGACTTTTAAGAATTATTTTATGGTATGACATATATTTACATAAACACATAATGACAGATAGTTCATTTCTTAATAAAAAAGCGTGTCACTACAGCACCTGTCGAACTAAAATGTGGAACTTAGAGATCTTCATTAGCTTCATTATACTGATACAAAACAAGTAGAGGGACGAAACTCCAAAAGATGATAGTTGCTCTCTATTAATAGTAAATTCTCAGAAAAACGTTTTATTTTATTTATTTCTGCAACAGATATACTCGCTAAGCATATTTTCAATAGAATCGATTGTGATTTTCCTGTTTCGTTTGTAGCCGTCAACATAAAAAAACTTCTTAATGTTACACAAGAAAGAATATATTGTCTCATTCATGCTCAACATAAAAATACGAGAAAACGTAGCTTTTAGATAAATGCATGACAAAAATGCAGAGGACCATTCAAAATACTGATTGTCTGAAGTAAAGAATAGTGCAAATATGTACATGCGCATCTAATTATCCTATCAAATATGTCATAGAAATCAAAGTGTTTATTATTAATTCAATTTAGTTAAATCTGCTAAAAAAATTAAGATGCTAATCGAGTTAAAATCATTAATAATTATAATTCAATCAATTTTAACTCCTATACTAATTACAGATAAAAAGAAACTGGAGTTACCTCTGTAATATAGATGCCAAATAATCATCAAGCAATCACTTAATTGACCAGTTATTATAGAATCGATTTCAATTCAGAAAAGTTTCAAACAATGATCTCATGTATACTCTCTTTAGTAAAATTTAGACGAAAGAAACATGTTTCAATTATTACATTTTACATCCTATATAAATTCTTGAAACAGTTCCAATGACTGTATTCATCAATTTATTATTGTCATCATAGTTGGCAATTTCAAACAAGTTACTACGTCGTGTGTAGAAATAATGATATTGTCTGGCTATGCTCATATGCTGGTAGCTTTATCAAATAGAAGAGAATCACAAAGAATAGTTCAAAAAAATGAGCGTAGGGCGTGGGTGTGGGTAGATGTGCGTGTTGGAGTCGCTGAATTGAAGATTCACATTCACACCCACACCCTGAAGAGTTCAGAAGTCAAGGAATCCGGCCCCCATCTCCACCATTGTAAATTTATTTGAACTTTGCTTCGGCAAAAGTTCTTTCGAAATAAATTTGTTTTGGTTGTGTTTTAAATAAAAATTCAATTAAAACGAGACTATAAGATGATTCTCGTTGCTGAGATGAAATGTTAATATTATGGATGCTTAACACAGCTACACTCACCCCCAACAGAACATTCAAGAAAGTAATACGGATAATACCTTTTGAAAATACAGAATCCGAGTTTCAGTTGAATAGTGTTAGTTCGTGATGACTAATGCAATTCTCGATTCGCTGCTGTTGCTTGCCAGATAATTTTACTAGCGATTGGAATTGAATTTTAACAGCCGATACTGACATCTTTTGTCAACCTTCTCAATTTCAAGAACTTAATTATTTTACGTAAATATTTATTAGAAAAACTCTAAAAAATCTAATTATTACTACTTTTTTTCGAGCTGGAGGTGATCATCGAATCACTGTGCTGCAGATCTACAACTGATGATTTATTTTATAAGTGTGCTTAGAAAATAATTGACTTCGTTTTCATACTAAGCTTCATATTAATAATAATAGAAACGGTAAGCGATACGATGCAAATACAAAATGAATATTTTCTTTGTTTTTCATATTTCACACAAAAATAAATTGTATCGTAATTTGCAACACAATGTACGACATATGAAAATACAATACATAGTGCTTGCTTTAAGATATTCTGCCCGGAAACCGTGCGAATACATATGGTACATTTCTGTAATATGGCTCAAATCTATTCTTCAGTGTCAGTATCATTTTTTTCTTTGGAAAAAGAGAATACTTACTATTTTGATAGTTTCACTCGTATTAGTGACACAATCTAAAAATGTCTAGACTGCACACTAAAATGAAATGTGTCGCATTTTGCGGCACAATATACTACACATTCAAGTGCGACACGAGGAGCTCGTTGCGACACATTTTAGGACGACACATGCAACACATTTTGAAAGCATGGTTCGAACGTACTATACAGCGCATTTTGAATTTTTCCCTAAAAAAAAATTAGCACATATTTTTCGAGTTAATTCCATTTAATTCTTGCTATTCTGAAAATTCAAGTAGGTCAGATCTTGAGATCCGTCCGACCCCAAGCTGATTCGATCTGCATCAAACCGCTTCAGGGTAGTTCTTTCTCGATCATCGATCAAGATCGGCATGTTTTCGACAAATACATATCGAGAAATAATTTAAAAAAATAACTAACATGAAAATATAAGTTCTGTATATGCCAATCGCGTTGTCGATATATAGCTGTATGCCCAAAACAAGACGGTGAATGAATAGTCAACAGACAGAACGAAACAAATTTATATACGACACATTCTAAGCACGACACATTTTCATCATTGAGTCTGCGACACTATAATTCACGACACATAAGTGCGACACATTTTATTTTAGTGTGTGCTCGATCTTGAATATATAACCAGCTCGAGCTTGTCTGTATGCGTTTCGATGTTGGTTTGTGGATTTTCTCTTCACATAAACTCCACGACTGCACTCAGATCTGCATCAATTCCATGACAACTATCTCGTGCATGTTGAATCATTTTCATAACACGATATATGTGTAAATTTCAACAGTCTCACGATGTATAATTCTGACAGTCACCAATGATTTTAAATAGTATCAAGTATGGTGTCAGTTTCAGCATTAAAAGTGACATTATTTTGCATTGCCTGTCATCATTGTTCGTCATTCTTTTTATTCATTGGGTACTGAGTTAGTTAAATAAAAAAAGGCATTTCAAAATCACATTTTTCAGAAGTTTCACGTAATCAAATTAATCTCATCACACTTGAAACTGCTATTCTGCTATCCAGGTCAAAAAATCTGACATTAAGTCTTGTACGATCATATGAATTCGTACAAAAAATCGTGATCTCAGAAATCTTACATCAATTCTTACTGCATGATTCTTGTCCGATCTTACCGTCGCATAAGATTTTCTATAATCTTACAGTAAGATTTGATAGGACAACAAGATCTGTCAAGAATCTTAGAGTAAGACTTGATACAAGACTTCTGAGACCACGATTTTTTGTTCAATTTCCGTCTGATCTTACAAGATCAGATGAATGATCATGCAAGATCTTACCATCTATTTGTTTGACCTTGGTAGGCTTGCATCTGCAAAAGTAGTTCAATTTATTCTTCCGACATGTCTCTTTTTTTCAATTATTCGACAAGATACCAATTTACATTACTAGGAATCTGCAGGCTATCGAGAATCTAAAACAATGTAGACAGAAGGAAAAACTATATATTTCAAGTTTTTACGGCTTATCACAGCCAACGGGCTTTGAAAAATCTATATTGGTTACATATAATACAATATTCTATTCATTTGTTTTAAGAATAGATATTGGTTTCTCCACAAAAGTTAATAATTTTCAAATGATGTTCTTTAACATAAATTTTCAGATTATTAATTATACTATATTATTTATCAATGTTAAAACAATTTTGAATGATAACAATAAAGAAGAGATTATATCAAGTAACAAAAATTCAATGTATTATCGGTTCGATCATATTTCTTTTAACTTTTTTATTTATTTTTCATAATGATTTAAAAATCAAATGGCTTATTGACGCACCTTTTCAAAGCGCACCATCAGTACGGATGAAAAGATCCGCGATTGAATTACTTTCATTATATGAAGAAGCATTATCTCATAGAGAAAAAAGTTCATTTCAACCAATGTTTCATAATCATTATTTATCATTAAAATTAAATTTAACATCCATGATTAAAGATTATTGGAATTATTTAAAAGATGTTTCTAAAAATAAAATTGATCATGTTAAAATAACCTGTTTGAAAAGTTCGAAAACTATAAAAGATTTTCATCCAATTTGTCATATTTATTTGAATTTTCGCTTAAATATCTTTAATTTGAAAGAAGTAAGTTTCATTTTTTTATCTCAAAATTCAAGTTGCCCATTATCATTAACAAATACGTCAGATACTATATCTCTTGATATTCATGAAATGTTCTTGAGTAATGATAAATTTCGTTTTACTTATCAATGGTGGAGTTTTGATCACGAAAAATTATTTTCTTGGTCTCAGTGGCCGCCAACAATGTCATGCTTAAATTCTTATTTAAATCGAAACCAAAGACAACCTTCAAAATTACCTTTGACTTTCTTTCAATGTTCTTCTGTCAATATTTTAATTCATTCAACTTCACGAGAATTATTTATTAGAGAACAGAAAGCTGTTTCATATTGGCTTGATTTACAGTATAGAGCATCAATTAATAGAAAAGTTTTCGATAAAAATAACGTGTCAACAAAACCGAGACGTCTAGTTCCATTTGAAATCGCAAAGAATAATCATGTATGTCCAGAGAAATTTCAAAATTGGATTTTAAATTATCAAAAATGGCATGAAAATATTAGTTTTAGTATTAGTAATCGTTCTATGACATTCGAAGAACAATTTCAACGTATAATTGAACTTGATGTTCGCTTTTTAATCTATGCAAAATCGAAAACAGGTATTGCTGATCGAATGATCCATTTCA